AAAATTCGTCGTCGTGGCGCAGTAAGTTGCGGGATTAGGTGTCCTGCACTGTACAAGTAAATTTTTCAACATTGAATTAAAATTACACGCCATTTTTATCACAGCATTGGTTGGAAAGATTCATTTATATATGAGAAAAATCACACCAATTATGGTTAGAGGAGTGAGATAGTTAGCGAATGGTTTGGATTGATTTTATATAGGTTTATGATGATCTTGTGCCAAAGGAATTATTATTTATTAACAGAAAACCCATTTAGAAAGCACATAAATTGCGGGGTTCTTTTATACGTGTTGGATAATTAATTAGCAACAATATCGACTGATATTATCTTTGATATTCACGTATAAAACAGAAAATGGCCATGCAATATAAATGAATAAATATATGACGAGTCAAACATGAAAATAATAGTAAATAGTAAATAAATAGATTTTCGAAGGAGTTAAACCTAAGCAACAAAAGAATTTTTTCATTTGTTTTGGTTGGATAATGGAGGATAATGATGGACTGATGTATCTTTTATTAAACGATTAACTAAATGTAGAGTTATTTTGAAACAGCCTTTGTTGAAATTTAAATCCTGTCAAAATAAAGGATTAATTGAAACATTTTGCATTTTTAGATGAAAATTTTCCTAATTGGTTTAAATTCAAAAACTGGTATATTAATTATTATTAGAGTCATAGAAAAGCTTTGATTTAGTCAATTTGGAAATCAAACTGAAATTTCGACTTCAATTATCAAAATATTAGTTTATTTCAAAAAAAAATTAGTTTATTAGTTTTACTATCAAAATTATCAAATCAATTCTCATCCCAAAAAATTTCACGTGATTGAACTTATTGAATTGTTTTAATATTGATATTAATGAGAGAGAAAAACTTTTGCAATAATAAAAAAACCCATGTAATTTTTTTTTACGAAAATTATTATAATTAGGCAAGATTTAAAAGTAAATACTTTAAGTATTCGAAAATTTACATTGTAAAAAATCTATAATATGAATTCTTTTCTTTGGGTTTATTTCTAAAACATTTGTTTTATCGTGGTGTGGTTAGCTAAATTATGATTTGCTACTTTCGTTTTTCAAACGACATTTTTTAATTTCTTTGGAGCTTAAAAGACTACTAATCACCACCAATTTGACACCAGTGTTAATTTATAGATAACAGGGAAACTTGGTACACGTGACTAAATCGGAAATAATATATTAATATTAATATTAATATTAATTGTATAACATTTTTTCCACAAAAAATTCAATTTAACTTGTAGTCAAAATGTATAATTGTTTCGAAATATCATAATAACAATACTAAATAATAGTAATGATAATTATAGTAATAATAACGATAGTAGTGGTAATAATAATACCGGCAAGTTTATCACCATCTGAAAAGTTTTTTCATCTACTGGGATTTAAGCCGGCTAAGGTTTTTCTACTGGCCAACATCACTAGTGGTGACACCAAAACTCCAAAGAAAATATCAACATACCAATGGTAACAGCATTAATACTATAATTAATGGCAATTCCTATTCTATGTACAATTATAACCAGGGCTGGCCGCGTAACTCAACTAGCACTATTTAGTCATATGTTAAATCAAGTTTAGTCAAGGCTCTGTCAACCCTGATTATAATAATAACATTGTATTAATATAAATATTTGTTTTCTTCAAAAAAACGGATCTACAGTTAAATGACTAAGTAATTATTGTTACGCGACCATCAAAAATATTCTAGTTGATATTACTAATGGTAGCAAGTAATGATAACCTTTTCTGTTTATTAATTTATTTTATAATAATAGAGAATGAATGATACTATTTTAATAATAATTCTTATTATATATATATATATAACATTATATTAATATCAAAACGGATTTATAGTTAAATGACTAATTATTGCTACGTAAACATCAAAAAAGTATAACGTAGTACTACCATCAATAACAATTCCTATTACTATGGTATTGTATTAGTATATTTGTCTTCAAAAAACGGATCTACGATTAAAATTATTGTTACGCGACCATCGAAAAGAAAAAAAATTTAGCATCAATATCAAAATACCTTTAGTTGGTGATTACTATTATTAATATAAATTTGTATTATTGCATATTAATTTTAATATGTTTCATTT